GTATCGCACAAATGAGAGATACTGCTGGTCTGAAAGATTGGCAGTGGACCTTTTTGCTTGAAGGTATACCGATCATTCCGCTCGGTATTATTACCTACCTCTTTCTCAGCAATATACCCGACACTGTTCAATGTAAGAATTAACAGAACTATAAAACAATGTTTTGAATTCTTTCCGAATTCAGGGTTAAATAATTGTGAAAAAGAACTGCTCACATACATTCTTCGAGAAGATGCTGGTATGGCTAATGGTGAACCAGAATTAGATGCTCGATTTTCATGGCGACAAGTGCGATATGTGCTTATCGATTGGAGAATTTATCTATATATTTTAATAGCTGTGGGAAACTTAGGTACTATCAAATGTCTAACATTGTTTCTTCCATCTCTAGCTAATAGTATAAGTAACTCAAAACCGCTAGCTCATTTATTGACGGCACCTCCATATATTCTCGCTTGTATATGCTGTTTTCTGGGCGGCTATTCATCATCGCGTCGAAATGAACACGGATTTCATATTGTCTTTTTTCTATTCATCGCTCTGCTCGGTTTTATTTTAATGCTTTGTCTGGCAGATCGAGGCAAAGTGACAATGTATATTAGTAGCTACTTTGCTTGTTGTGGCATATATGCAGCATTTCCTCTTCTATTGGCTTGGTTGACGAAAAACATAGGCGGGCATATGAAAAGAGCATTGGCTGTTTGTTGTTTCATGGCGATTGGTCAGTTTGGAGGCGCTGTAGCATCTCAAGTGAGTATTTTATATTTAATTAAAGTATTAAGACTGCGAAAAAAAGAAAAATGATCAAATATATGCTGCAGGTTTATCGTGAAGTCGACAAGCCTAATTATCGCCGAGGGCATGCGATCTGTAGTGGAGCACTGATAGTTGCTTTGATAGCTACTTGTATTCTACGTTTTTGTTTGAAGCGAGAAAATGATCGTCGAACTGATTTACCACACGGCGATTATACTCGAGAAGCAAACGTTAGAGAATCCTGCGATTGGGTAAGCTGATTTTATGTTTGATAACAAAAAACATTTTTAATGTTGCTTTTAGCATCCAGATGTTCGGTATGTGTTATGAAACAAGTTTAATGTATACACATCTAATGTTATTCTAAACTACAAACGATACCATGGTGAAAGACAGATCTTCTTTTTTTCTCATTATTGATCAAACATTTTTTTGAATTAAAGCAAACATTCAGCATATACATTAAAGTGTTGTCTGAATGGCACTAATGATTTCTGACTAAATAGTTAACAGTCGTTCAACTGATTCTTCGTTCTACTTCTGAGTATTTGACTTACATCAGTCGAGATTACTCGAATGAACCGCATGTAAAAAAAAGCGTGTTAACATAGCTCCTTTGAAGCTAAAATATGGAACTCATACATATTTTTGAAGAAAATAGTGAGTGTAAGTTTTAAGTTCAAGTTTTTGCGGCTTCTTCCTTCCCATTACAAACACTTAGTTATTGAAAACTACATGCATCAGATTTTCTAGCGTTCTTTTTTGCAAAATTGATCAAGTTATAATTTTGAAAAATAATGAATATCATTATTTGTGAGTTGATTAATATTTACTACAATGTGTAAAATCTGTTATAGATATCACGAATATGTAAAACAGACTTACTTGCCAATTAATTCTATGATTATATTAATAAGAATGTTAAATTAAGAAAAACAAATAAAAACAGTGAAAAATAATGAGCGAAGAGCAACAATGCAAAAAAGGATGCTCGTGGAAAAAATTTTAGAAAATCTTTTCGAAATGTAGAAATTAGAATGATCGTTACTCTGGACATCGATTATCATGTAAAGCATCTGTAGTCTACGAGAGATGTATTACTTTACATATTTTGTATTAGTTTAGTGAGGCTAGACAGCATATGTCAGTTTCACGTTTCAACCCCAAAGGGGCTGCGCTAACAAGCTATTTTCATAACCATTGATTTACCTGGCAAATAAGATTGTTGCAAATATCCATTACATGCAACAACAGATCTTAACGCACTATTGTATATTTCGAGCAACTCATAACAATGATATTTTTTTTATTTCAAACTTATGACTTGATCTATTCATGGTTTTTACGTCGTTTATATGACAGCTATGACAAATTATTGCATCACTATGCATCATTCTTGATATCTTCCACACAATTTTTTTCTTGCACACAACTTAATACTGTACCATGGAGAACATTGACGAATCTATTCTAGTCCCTTAAATTTCACGAAAAGCTTTCGAATGCTTTAGAGTAGTCGAACTCATGTCGACGATACCATTTAGTTCCTTTTTTCACTCGTACGAAACTCCAGAAAAGAAATCGGATGCTTGTTGTTCGCGTTTGCTGAAGTCTGTTATTGCGGGGGTGTGATGTGGGGGAGGGGGGGGGGGCTGTAATGAGGGCCTCCGTTGCTATAGTCTGTAATGGGAAGGGATTGGGAGTCGCAAAGTCTTGCTAATAAAGTTACCCGCATCATTTTCCTCGAAAATATATATGGATTCCACAAAAAAAAAGAGGAAGTGATACATAAACTCCTATGCACATTAATATTCCCTTTCCTAAATCAAAAATATTGGCACTGCAATAAGGAGCAATGAAATAGCGGAACACTTTTTAATATTATTCCGCCATCAAATCCAAGTGTCCGCTGATTTTTTTGCATGCGACATATATTATTCATTCATATGGAAAGAAAGAAAATGTTTTTTTACGAATAATATTCTACTATGTTCGGCAGGCATGTGTTATAATGTTGCTGTTTTTTTCTCGTCGATCAATATTTATGCGACGAACTGTTTCATGTATAATGCGGCACTGTTGAAATAAAACGCAGACTCCTGACTCAAGTCATATGTCATACCTGAAAATTGGCTTCAATTAATGAAAACCTTTTCAAACATTCTGATATTCTTCGAAAAAGACGCCCTATATGTCTTTTTGCAGTGCACATAGCAAGAGAGAATATCTTAATAACTGGGTATCTGAAAAGGTCTTCAATAACTGGGTTGAACTGTTAGGTTTGACTCTACTTGCTCGAATAAAGTTTAAGGGGAACTTCCCTCTCTTCTCAATTTCGACACTTTTGTAATACGGCTCATCAGAAAATTTTGAAATTTTCGAGGTAGATAGATTTCAGTGAGTAGAGCAAAAAATTCTATAGACTCAAAACTTCCGAATGCTTCATTCAGAGAGATATGGGGGTCACAAGGGTTAAAAATGTCCTTCCATTATTACCCTTTTTTCGACTGCGATACGTCTGATAGGTCTGAAATTTTTTTTCACATATCATTGTCGGTTTTTTTTAAATGTCAACAATCATTTGTCCAATTACTTCTGATCATTTCAAGCTAACGAGCTCGGTCTTTCGCCATTACACAGAGCAACCTTGGAAGCGTCTATCTCTATGAAAATTAACGAAATGGGTAACGAAAAATATATAAATTAAAGATCTACCATAAAAAAACTTCTTTGATTCTAATGAATCTCATAGAGATAGACGCTCCGAAAGTTGCTCTATCTAATTGATGAAAGGCTGAACTCGACAGCTTGAAATAATCAAATCTTATTTATTTTCCTCTCCTTCCCCGTACCCAACAAGATAAGCGCACTTATCACCATATAAATCGCTTCACTCCTTCCCAACACCTATTCATTCCTGTTTCGCTAACCGTTCACGAACTTCACAAAGTTCTTAGTCGTTTTTGTCTCCTCTTGAGAATGTGTTCTCTACGTGGATATCAAAGCATCATGCTGTCTACATTCCTTCTATTCCTATCATTTCCTCATTATTATACCTCTCCTACTCACTTTTGCCTTTTTCTATTTTCTTCTTGTCTTTTCCCCTTTCCCCTTGTTTTTCTTTGTTATCCTCGTCACCTTTTATAACCTATTCTATTTGTAAGCGCTCCAGAGCGTCACAAATAAAACACATGTAGAACAAACAAATGATGAAAAGTTATTTAAATAATGGTCGTTGGTATTTAAAAAAAATCCGACAATAGATATTGTTTGTGTGTCTACTTTTTCTGCTTTCTTTTTATTTCTTCTGCTCGAATAAAAACATCAAAATCCTGAGAGTATCCTCATAAATTCATAAAAACATAAAAAAGTATGTTTCTTTTTAACTGAGTCCTTTTGTAAGATCTATCAAAAACCAACGGTACAATACTTTTAAAGCAAAAAAAAAGTAGGCACCTAAAAACACTATCAAGTACTTGTAGGAAAGATTCAGCTGTATCAGATGTAGTAGGCCTGAGCAACGGGGACAATTCTGCAGTTTTGTTTTACTAAAAACTAGGTTTCTAGAAAACCTCGACAGAGCAAAAGAAATTGTTGTTTTCATATAGAAAACTTCCGATATTTTTGATTTGCTTTTTAACTTCAAAGCTATATTTGAATTCTCAAAACATGTCTAACAGATAGAGCACACTTAGAAGCAAATGTAGAGCAAAAAGATTCAAACATAAAAAAATTGAAAGTTTTAGATCGTGAAAGGAGTACGATTGACAGTTACGCGATATTTTTGTTTTGTTTGTGTTCTAATTTTCTCAGCTCCACTACGTGCAAAAAAGTTGAACAGTATTGCATGTGATAGCACAGTGAGCGCGCTACAAAATCCATATTTATTCTCTTACAAACTAGCTTTACTTTCAAAGTTTTGTCAAAAATACTGAAAATGTTTTCGTCGCCTGGCTTCCGCTATCTGTATACCGTGAGCAATGGTCCCTAAAGTACGACTCATATACACGCAAATGATGAAAAACACACATCATAACTGCTTCCATTATAATATGCAATAGTTTCCTTTAGTTCTTTTGAGATTCTGTTTCTGTCTATAAAAAAAACCTTTCGTGCTGTCATATATTGATTAGTTGTACTATTTTGAAGCAAAAGTTATATCGTTATCAAACAAATTGACAGAACTATACGTCTGTTGTTTGGATTTGAGCACTGGCATGGTGTCACCAATAAAATTAATTTCTATGCGTCAAATTCCACCAGTATCACCTGAAACGGAATTTATTTGGATATGTCAGACTAATGCTGATCCATGGGATAGCAGTCAACCCGCCGAATGGACTCCTTATCCTACTGAAATATCCTCAGCTTTGGAAAAAGCCTTTAAAAGTGGTGCTGATTACACATTTATTGGCGAGTTATACCGTATTGATTTTATAGAGCTTGTACAAGAGTATATTGAAGATCCAAATCAACAACGCCCTATTCGACGACGTAATCTGAGAGCGTCTGTACAAAATAATGAAGAACATGAAATTGAAACTGCTCGTCGTGAAAGGTTATTGTTTCCCTTGAATATGAATGCAAAAAATAGTACAACTGTGGATACAACCTATCATGGTTCAAAGTTTATTAGAGACTGGTTCTTAGCATTCACTAATGGGAAGCTTGATGTGGCATTTGATGTCATATTTCCTGCTCTTATCAACGGCTTGAAACATGAAGGACGTAATGAACCAGAAAACACAATTAAAGGTATTATATGTGCTTTGAATTTGGTAAGAGATGAAACTACTAAGGACAAGGAGTCAAAGAAAATGAAAAAGTTGGAACATTGTTGTGCCAAGTTGTATACAAAACAATGTTTTCTCTATCGTGTTGTAAATACGGCATTACGTGATGATGATCGAACAAAACTCGATACGTTGGGTCCATACTGTTATTTGGTTTACAACTGTGTTGGCCGGCATACGAATGGTGATCTTTCGATTCGTCGCCGTCTTCTACAAATACTTCATCCAACTGAGTCTCAATCGATGATTGTCTATCGTGGTGATCATGTTTCTCGTGAAAAGATAGAAGAATATCGACAAGCAGCTGAACGTAAGGACAAGTGTTTTAAATGGCTTCCATTCGTTTCGACTTCACTCGATCGTGATGTTGCCGAAAGATTTGGATCGAATGTTTTGTACATTATTGAACTGCGACGTTATTTATCCAATGATCTGTTCGCTTATTTGAATAAAAATACATATATAGAGAGTGAAGAAGAAATACTATTGAGACCTGGAGCTCGATTTCGAGTAATCAAAGTACAATTTGATGATATTTCGGGACGACGTTTGATTTATATCAAGATTATCCCATCGTATGTGTCCAATTTAAGGTAATATGCCGATACTCTACAATATTTTCAAAAGATCCGTTCATTCAAAATAAAAACTCCTTTGTATCCATGATCTTTAGATGATCACATTGATTATTAAAGAATTCCTCACGATAAGAGTCAAAATCTGGGTGTGGGTGCGGGATGTGCGTATCGGAGTAGGTATGGGTGTGTATGTGACTGTTGTTTTTCTCTGCATGGGAAGCCTACAATCAGATCCATATTTAATACTATGAAATAAAACTAAACCAGATGCCATTTAAATCATGCAAATATGGTTTTTTTTATATCAATATGGGGAATAGCAACAAGATTTAAATATTGTTGAGTCATTGCACTGCGTAAATTTTTCCATTCGAGTTATAACACTGAAGGATCATTCAGCGATGCCTATTGTATAGGAAAATCGTTAAATATAATAGTAACAATTTACAGTTTTCAGAAAACATAGTTTTGTCAACTCGTTGTGTATTTAAATGATAAAATGTGGGCCGGCATTGTAACCATGTGCGATTCGTCCGAAGAAAATGAACAAGCCTCATGGCTTCACTGTCTATAAGCTATGACATATATTTTTAATAAAGTTTAATTAATATATTTTTTAATTGACGTTAACATTTTTAATATAAATTGTTCTAATGGATTTAAACGATGTTCAAGACCAAATAGTATCATCTTCGAATATATGATGTTGTTTACAGGATAACAATCAAATAAATAATTTAAATAAAATAGATAATGATGATAATTTCAGTGCTGATAAGCTGTTCTTGATTGTACCTTGATTATCAGAATATTCCTGTTTACCTTCAGAAAATTCGTTATTTTTTCCTGGAATACAATTAGCACTGTAAAAAAACATCGCAAAATAATCAACCTTTGCACTTTAAAAGTTTTTTCATATACTCTTGAAGGATTTATACCGTCGTCATATACCTTTCAAAGGTTTATGACAGGAAGGGTTTGCGACTGTAAACGTATATGAAAATAGGAAGGGTATATGACGCAGTTGTGAGGATTGCTTGTTCTATATTTTATACGGAAGGATTCATTATTATCCGAAAAAACGTAATTTTTTTGTACTGTTCCATGAAAACCATTTTTTACGGTATGCATTAGGGTAGATTATTCTACAATTTTAGCAAAGGATTTCTTATTCCACGATTAACAGTATTTTATTATACGATCTTAACAAAACATTTCTTATTCTACGCCTAAGGGAATATTATTCAATGCTTTGAGCGGAAGAGTTGATTCTAGACGACCTAAGGATATATTATGCTACCGCGTCATTGAAAGCGTTTACTATTCTACGACGCAGGATAGATTGATCTACACTATAATGATTAGTCGTAGAATAAACAACCTTCGCAGCTGAAAAAAAAATCATTTTTTAATGGGCTGATGAGGGATGTGATGTATTCTTTCAGAATTTATGAGCCGGAGTGGTTTATGGTAGTAGGGGTATATGGTCCCTATTTAAGGGCTTAATATTCTATGATTTCGTCAAACGCGTTTATTATTTCACGCATCATGGTAGATTAATCCACGGTTTTACCAGAAGCGTTTAATATTCTAAAACCAAAACTCGATAAAAAATACGATGTCGTGAGCGGGATTTATTATTCTATGCAAAATGGTAGATCTATCTATTAACCCTAGAAAAGTGTTCATCAGGCGAATAGTATACGCGAGTAAGGTTATACAAAAAGTAAAACGGTAAGAGTCTGCCATTTCAGAATACAGAGTGCTAGGATCACTGCATATAGGTTTAATACTCTACCGCTAAACATAGTTTATTTTACGGTATTAGCAGAAAGATTCTCTATGCTACTACTGAAGATTTATTATTCTACATTTCATTTAAACACATTAATTATTGTATGGTGAACCCATGGGAAAATATTGATAGAAACAAACGTGTAAGAACACATTTTTAACAAATTGGAACACATTTTATAGACTCAGAACCCGTTCTTTAAAAAAATGAATCGTTCGAACGCGTATTTCCCGATAAGCAAAGTATTCCTCTGGATGACGAACGCGTTAGTAACGAATGAATTCAAATCGACAAGAACACTCCTTGAAGCAACCCATTCGATGTCAATACTTAACTGTACTTGCAATGCACTTGGATTCTTCTGAATTTTAATTTTTTTATCATAATATATCAATATATTCTATCTAACTATTTAGAAATTATAAAACTGAAAGACAGACTAATCAATGAGCAACTTGAATATTTATGTCAATGTGAGTATATTTATTCTATTACCATACTTATCAATATCTTATGATCTAACACTGGATTATATAATGAATAAATATCCCACTCTCTATGAACTTCAATCAATAGTCAAACAATGGAACAAAAATGATTTGGATTGTTACGATTTCAAAGTCAATATATTTCTCTTCCATAAGTCTAATCGGTACTAACATCTCTTGTCCACTTGTAGAATTGGTTTCAAGTTCGACGTTTGACTGAAATAATGGTTGAACAGCGACGTCATGAAGCACGAATATTGCAGCTTAGTTTAGATATGAATCTTCTTCCTTTTACGTGTTATGCGTCTCATCACTGTTCACTAGTTGAAAGAAACAAATTATTTCTTGTATCTTATGTCTATAAAAGATTAATAAAATAAATACTTGTTTGTTTAATTATATTAAAAAAAGATTAAACGAAAACATATTTCATTTATATGTCACGGTCAAAATTTCTTTCGAAGAATAATATCGTCTAATTAACATGTATAAATATTTCATGTACTTTGAAGAATTTTCTACTCATTTATATTTATATGAACATAGTTTGTTCTATGAGTTTCTCTAATGAATGTGCATTTTCCTGTGTATATATTGTGACAGATTCATTGGTCATGTACTCAGTGCTGTGAGCAACCACTCTATGTATCATTATATTCTTCTTCTGTTCGTATATCATTCACCAGTCATTCTTAGCTCATTTTCCCACTGCTCTCCTCTCATCTTTGTGTTGCATCTCTTTCATAAATATATGATAGAATAAAGCACAAATAACTCAAATTCCTTATATATATATATAATTCATATTCAAAGGTATATAAAATAAGAACCATTGCCTTTGTTATCATTTAACGTTCGTCAATTAAGAAAGTCAATATTAAAAATAATAATATTCTTCTTATTATCGTATGTGTAAAAAAAGCTAAATAGAGAAGATTATTTTAATCAATTGAATTGATTAATTTTTTTTTTCGTATATAAGTAAATCTCAAAATTTTAATTAATACATTTTGAAAATAAATGAATAGTTATTAATTGAATTCATTATTGAATAAAAATATTTTACATAATTGACTTAAACTAAATGAGAAGAGTATAGGTGATAAATAATCATGATGTCGAATGTGATCGTTTTTTTTTAAATTTTATTTTTATTATATAAATAAAACGATGTTTAATTCAAATTTATCAACAGACATCAATAGCTAGATAATATAAAAGAAATTATAATTTATATGAGTATAATAGTCAAGTGACTGGTGTCATTAATGAATGAATATTCTGTTCTTTAGAAAAATTCTGTCTATCTATTCTATATATCTTGAACTAAACAAAAAAATATTAATCTTCGATTAAGAAATAACGAATATTTGAGAAAGAAAAAAAAACTACATTATTTTTTTTTGTTTTCAATTAAATTATTGATGATTAGAGATCATATAAATAATATTGAATATTACACAAGAATGATATTTCTTTTTCTTATTTTAGTTAATTCATTTTCACTTATTAATAGCTAATGTTTTACTTTTTAAAAATTTTCATATTTAGCAATAAATTCATTGGTATGTAAAATGGCATTGCATGATGATCGTGTGTTACTATTTAAATTGAATTGGCATGTGGATTTTCCTCGTTTCCATGACAATCTCCTATTTTTTGCTACTTTTCTATCAAAATTAAATAGTTTATATCGTCTGATCTAATAAAAAGTCACGAACTGTATGATTTATTTATCTTTCTTAATACTTGTCCATCCTGATATAAGTGAAAATGTCTTCTAATCAACAACAGAATTCTTCTGAGAAGTATTTCTTGAACACATCTAATGGAAAATTCGACATACATCATAATTTTCTATATTTTAAAACAGCTTAGTGTTATAGTACCGTAGTTTTCGCAGACAATTCTTTTGCAGTATATGAATTTGATGGCATGGTTTTGTTTTTTCTGATTATTGTGAAAGTAAATGTTGAGGAAAGGGAGTTTGCAAAGTCTAAGATGAGCATTCTAAGAGGAATAATAGCCAGAGGTAGCATTATTGATTACGAGAAACGAATGCCATTATTGTTCTGCTATAAGTTTTAAGCAATTGAATGTTTTTCGAACAGCACATGTATGTTTGTGCAATACGCAAAATGGGTGGGTGTGGGTGTATTTCTGTTCTCTTCTATCCACACCGACACTCACCCACACGCACACCCGGCTCTAGTTTTATGGACATAGGAGGTTTTATAATAACACAAAGGCCGTCTGCGAAAAGATGACGTTAGTGAGCTCCTAGACATTGAACCAAATCACGATGAAACACAATAAATACGTATGGACTAAGACTACTGTCTTGAGACAGACCAATTTGTATGGGGTGTGGATGTGGATTTGAGTGGATGTCGGTGTGGGTAGAAGAGAACAGAAACACACCTACACCCATCCTCACTCCACACCCATATCTCTATGCCTTCCTCCCTTTCTTTCTTTCCTTTCTGTTCTTTTTTTTTTTCACTTTTATCTCCTTTTTTCTGGCCTTGACAGACAAACGTACATCCTCGCTTTCGTTCTCTCTTCTCTTTTCGCTCTGACCTGCCCTCATGGCACGATCAGCCAGGGCATGGAACCCTGCAGAGCATAAGGATTTATATTATATCTGGAAACAAAACTGATAGCCTTCATAAAGATTCAAAATCCTTTTTGACTTCAATATCTATGCGTTATTAAATCATTTCAAACGATGTTGTA